TTAAATCAGAAAGGTGCGGGTCATTTTTCAGAGATACCAAATGAGACATAAGGAATAATATGCAAGCAGCTATCTTTAGCAAGCTTTGTTCAATCAAATGTTACTGACACCTGAGTATAGTGTAAATTCAATACAGGGTGCTCTTATATGTAGCTAAAAGTAATGACACATGGGAAGCTCCAGCAGAATCCAAATGCAGTGGGAAAGTTCCAAGATAAACATCCATGCTTTTGCAAAAATATTAGAAGAAGCAAATGAAAAAGAAATGGAAAGTAATTTTTTCAAAAATCACCTTAAAGCAGTGGTTCCCAAACTGGGGTTCGTAAAATGTTACAGGGGGTTCTCGGGGGGAAAAAATCCCTAATGGCGGAGAGAGCTGTCCCTGAGGACCCCAGGCAGCATGAGGCCAGCAGCCTGGAGCCCCTCGACTTCCAAGAGCTAAGGAGATCAAAGCAAGCATATCTATCACACTGAGGAGATTTAAACTTCAAGACTCCTTATAAGAAATGTAAAGGGAGGTGGATATTTACTGCTGTTTTTAAAATTAAATAGGCAGCTAGTATAGTTTTTAAAATTATTATGAAGAACATGTTTAAGCTTTGTTGCAATATGTGTTGTTTGCCTGGACTGCTCAAGACCTGAATGCGTATGTAGGAGGAACTCTTTGAGTTGGCTTCTTAAATCCCTTCATGCTGTTTCACATCTGATACTCCTTGATGAAACACAGGAGCCTTGTCTTATAACAGGCTTGTTCAAAATGATACAAGCTATGAAAGTGAGATCTTGGAAGAGTGTTACCATTTTCATAATGTAATAAAAAATACTGTAATGATAAATAATAATTAATAATAAATAGTGTGTAATAATGTCATGACATGTCATGAAAACAAATTTTATATTTCCAAGATCACTGCTATTATAATTTATACTCAGGTAAAGGAGAAAGTCCCTGGAAATATTCATTTTTAGAAGGGGGTTTGCGAGACTTGACATTTTAGTGAAAGGTTCACAGGTTGTTAAAGTTTGGGAACCACTACCTTAAAGCAATGCAGGATCATCTGTCTGTAGTTAAAGTTCAAGCCTTCCCTTTTACTCTGCTGCTCTAAACTGACATGGGAACAACATATAAGTTGCCATTGACATATGGAGCACTGGAAGTAAGAGATGCAAAATCAACTATTTTTATATATGTATATGTGCAGCACCTAACACAATCAGACTCTGATCCTGATTGGGTCCTCGGAGTGCTACTGAAATATTAATAGTTTAAACTAATATAGAAATAGAGGTGGAAAGTACTTACTGTAAACTGACCTTTGTGACTTCTAAATGCCAAATAAGCTTAAAGGCTCTAATTCAGCAATGCACTTAAGCATATGCTTAGGTCCCATTGACTTTGACTTCAGTGGGACTTAAGCTTGTGTATAAAGTTAAGATGTGCTCAAGTGCTTTGCTGAATCAGGTCTTAAAGGTCTCATCCATCTCCCATTGAAGCCAATGGGATCCGTTCTGTTGCTTTTCACAGGAATCGGAGATCAGGCCTCAGAAACATATCAACCTTTAAATAGCGAAGCAGTGATTAGATTACCAAAAAGGGGTTGAAATACGTAGTGCGTAAAATGAATTGGTGATCTCAGTCCAGTTCCTAGTGAACAGATATCTGTGTCTTAAAGCCAACCATCACAATTTCTCGGTCCTTCTCAATCAGGGGAGGGACTGGGGATGGGAAATGTGCATTGCACAGCTAGTGTGGTCTTTGTTCCATGGCTAAATAAATAGTTTCAGTTCCAAGGAACATTGACACTGCACCTTTCCCCAAAGATGAGCTCCCTCCAGTCACATTTGAATAAGCTATAACTTTCCATACTCATAATGTAACATGTAATTTTTGTTTAAGTGAAAGAAGTTGGCTGGAACATAAAGATCCATAAAGCATAATAAAGTATTACCAGAATCTAATCAAGAGTCCAGTTTTGAACTGTTAATGGTAGTTGATACAATAGATATGCATGTCATAGTCCATTACCTCCTAGGGCTTCTCTTGTACTATCTCAGTTCACGCCTACCCCCCTTAGGCTGGGTGGGGGCTCTCAAAATGAAGTCCAGGTGGTTTTATAATCCTCTCTTTTTTTTCCCAGGGATGTGTCTGTCAGACTTCAATACTCCTGTTTCTTCCAGTTGATTTACTCCACTGCCCTGTTACTGAAGCTCATTTCCAAAATACCCCAAAATAGTGCATGTACCATTTGAGCTACTAATCCTGTTTTGTGTAAATGAATTCTCCTCTGGTCGCCAACATCCAGAGGGAGGGCTTTTGGATCCAGTCTGTTCCCTTTATCTGTAACCTTTATATACCTAAGGTTAACTCTTTTTCTTAAAATTCTGTACCTCGTGGCATTGCCAACAGATAGCAAAACTCCCTACTCATTCACATTCCTTTCAGCATTCAGCCACTTACATTAGGTTAAATTTTCTTTAGTACAAGTGTGAATTTGAGAGTGAGGTGGGGCAGCCTTGTTAATAAAACTTTTCTTTAGCTATGAATTGAAGTATTTTATACATCCATCAGATTTCTTTCTGGTTGTATGTCTCATTCCAATGCTTGATCACCTTCAAAAGGACTTGCTAACTTACCTAGGCGCTAGGTAAACTCCAGTATAAACTAGAAATATGTATGATTTGATGGAGAATTGACTGGGAAAATCACCTCTAGAGTCTAAAATAGATGTTTGTTTGTTTCAGTCCAGGTTCTAAATTACATTCTTTCTTTAGTTCTTCAGAAGTTAGCAGAGGGTCACATTTTCAAAAGTACATAAGTGCCCTAGGACCCTAAGGGCTAGATTTTCAAAGGTATTCAAGTGCTGAAAGATGCAGACATCTAGTGGGATTTTCAAAAGTGTTTAGCTCCCACAGAAAACAAAGGGAGTTAGGTGCCTAGGTGCTTTTGAAAATCCCAGTAGGTGCCTCTCTGCACCTTCAGGTGTCTGGATTTATTAATGTAATGATAAGAGGTGAAACGCCACCTAAGCCTTTCTCACCACGCTTCTATATTTTTACTGTGAGACAAAACATGTCAATTGTGATTTTATTTCTAATAGAAAAAGAAGAACAAGGCATGAAAAATGTCATTAATTGTAGCTTATATAACTCTTCACATGCCAGGCATGCTTAAGCAACACAACTGTTCGATCCCTTTGCATCCATCGCTCCATGAAGCTGAATCTGTAGGCCAAGTAATTTTAAATAAGGGAGAGCATCTCCTCAATCCCCTCCCTTCCTTCACAGTTACTCATTACTTAATTTGATTTGTGGCTTCTGGTGTCTCCATTTGAATGTAGAAAGCCTGCTGTGTTCATCCACAGGCACTGCTGTCGGGATAGTTACCAGAAAGTGCTGAAAAATATATGGGGTGGCCTGAAAGATGCCTGAGGCCACTTCCATTTTAGTCCCATTAACTCCCCGAGGTCATTGGGCAAGACATTGGGCAATCTAGGTAATAAGTTGTGCATATAAGTGGAAGGCATCAAGGAGTCAAGCTGTAATTTTTATTTCCAAGCACTTGCATCCAGTGTCTGTGAGGGAGAGGAGGAAAGTATCTTTGTTAAATGGCAGGCTGATTTAAAAAAGGATCTGATTTCTTCCTATCTATGTCATAACCTGATGATGAATAGAATGTTTATAAAAACCTGCACCCAGAGGAGGATGGATTTTGCATGGTCTATGTATATATAGGGCTATATCAATGCCCTCTTTCCCCATTTGTAACCCATGGATAACTTGGATTGTACTTCCTGCCTGCCCAGGATTCAAATGCCAGCATGAACAATAAGGGTGGTAGCCAGGTGTCTTGCTCATATATTCAGTTAGGCATGATCTGTGAGTTGAGGTCTCTATATAAATGTTTTATCCATCTTTGCAGGCTTTCCCTCCAATATCAGATTTTAAAATGTGAAATCAAAAGGGCCACACAGTGCACATAAGTGCTTTTTCCACATCAAGTGACCCACACAACCCTCTCCATGATTCCTTCCAAAAAGGAATTGCATTACATGCCTACTATTAGCTGTTGATTCTCTGTTCAACCTAAGCAGCGTCTGGTCCCTTTGTCTGAGGTTTGGTAACTTCCTTTCCTAGTCTTGTTTCAAGAATATTGGCAAATATTTTCACATCTGTATTTATGTATTAAATGCCTAAATACAAAGTAATTAATGAAGCAAATGTGTCTGTGGTGCTCCCATTCTAGCTCTTGCCCTGTTTTATGAACAATTTTATAGCATTTGCTAAATGTGGAAGGAGCTCCTCCCCATTTATAAGTATTAACTATGAGTAATGAGAGGACTGTGATATTTTATACACCCTTCTGTTTCTTTCTCTGTCCAACATTGCTTTTACTGCTGCATTTAGGTTCAAATGATTAAAGTAGAAGATTTGGAAAATGCTTTCCCGACATCACAGTTTAAGTAGTAGAAATAGCATCTCTGTTATTTAAAATAAATGTAAATCCATTTTTTCAACCAATCCAAGTTTACTTTTCTGACTGTGGAGGGATATCATTCCTGAATACAGTCTTTCCCTAATGTACAATTCATACACTTAAGACAACATTAGTCTGGGTTTTGTCTGACCTGTAATATTGTGTTACCTGCATTCACAAAGATTAAAGATTGAAGAATAAATGTGTATGTTCCGTGTATTTCACTCTGTGGTGCTTTTTTGGGATATTGAAAACCACCAACAGAATCTTTTACCATTATATTCAGCCAGGGTATTAAGTCTGTGCAATGCCCTCTGCACCACTTAAATACCATTTAATCCTTTAACACAGTCTTAAGTGGTGTGCTAGGCCATATGCAGGCTCTCTGCACTGCCAGACAAACATAGTAGAACCCTCAAAGGTACCTATAATAATATAAATGTGAACTCCCTCTAGTGACTTTTTGCTACTGATTCCATTTAAAATATATTGTCTTTTAGCCTTTTGTGTGTATGATTGTTTTTAGTGACGAGTATGAGGAGGATGGTTTTTGCCAGCCATACAGAGGGATTGCTTGTGCAAGATTTATTGGGAATCGAACAATTTATATGGAGTCTCTACATATGCAGGGTGAAATAGAAAATCAGATTACAGGTAGGTAAAGTATGTTGCCCCTAGCTCTCAAAAATACACACCTTTTTCCAGAGAACTGCTACAGCCTCTTGCCACTGACATTTTTTCCTTATATCTTCTTTTGCTACCTTCCCACTTGCTGTGAGTTTTGCCAAAGCAAAGCCTAATCAGGACTGGTATATAACATGTTTTCAGTGGAATGGGTCATATCAAACATGCGCAGCTTTTTAATATGCTGTGTGTCTCTGCTGATAGGCTTCCTCAAAAAAAAGTGTGTGTGTTTGTGTACGTGTGTGTAAATAAAAGAACAAGAGTAGGTATGGCTCACATCTGGTCTATCTTGTGGAGTGATCCCAGCATATTTTAAAAGCTAAGCAAAGCCAAGCTGGGTCATTACTTGGTTGAGAGACTGTTAAGGAAAACCCCAGGTACTGAAGAAGGTTGTGTAAGTAATTCAACAGGTGGCATTCTTGCCTCTGACTTAGTAAGGAACCGATGCCCCAGCACTATGATAGGGGGCACTGTGCTGAGGGAAGTGCCCTGTGTGCTACGAGACATAAAACAAAGATCTTCATGGTACTTTCCCACAATTTTAGGTGTGTTGCCCATGGCCAGATTCCAGCCAAGCTAATGACTTTCCAGTGGTCTAAAACCCTCTTGTGGTTTCAACTGGATACTGTGCTTGACTTCTTGCCATAAAGTGTTATGCAGCATTGCCATGCACTGTTAAAACATTGCAACACAGCGGTGATGGAAATGTTCCTTAAATATACAGCAGCTCATACGCTTGATCAGTTTGTTTATAAAGTGATTTGGGATCCTTTGGGTTGAAGGATGCAATATGTAAACGTACAATACTTTTGTTATTATGCATTCTGTAGAACCTGCTGTTCTTACCTATCAGGTAAAAGTAATCCAAGAAACAAAATATTTAGACGACTTTATGAACTATCTGGGAAAAAAGCAAAATAAAAATAAAATTTAATATGTAGTTTTGAGACAGCTTAAAATCAATGCAATGTTGACACCAAATGCAATTTCTTTTTCACTGAAATGAATGTCATACCAACTTTTAAAATAATTGTTATCCTGTATTTCTCAAATGTGCATTTGTCCCTGCTGGAATCTTTGAGTTCTGTAATAATAGTTATTACTGTAATTCTTGAGAAAAAGAGTTTGTTCTTCTTACTTTCGTTATTTGCCATTGTCAAATGTGTACAAAGTAGGGATTATGCTGTTGAGTCTAAAATCCTGTCATGTTAAATAAAATCCTTTTGTGTGTCTTACAGCTGCCTTCACTATGATTGGCACTTCCAGTCACTTATCTGATAAATGCTCCCAGTTTGCCATTCCTTCTTTGTGCCACTACGCTTTCCCATACTGTGACGAGACCTCACCAGCCCCAAAGCCCCGAGATCTGTGCCGTGATGAATGTGAAATTCTGGAAAATGTCCTTTGTCAGACAGAGTATATTTTTGCAAGGTCCAATCCTATGATTCTGATGAGATTAAAGCTGCCGAACTGTGAAGATCTTCCTCAGCCAGATAGCCCGGAAGCTGTAAATTGTATCCGGATTGGAATCCCCATGGCAGATCCTATAAATAAAAGTAAGTGAAAGTTGCTGACTTAGTGCCCTGTGCAAGAATTATCAGGTCAGCATGTAAAGGTTTTATCTAATCACTCTCTGCCCCCAGATGGGTTAGTCATGAACTCTGAAAACTCACGATCATTATAGTCTTGCATCAGGTTGGTGGAAGACTGAGCTGGTTATTCCAGAACCCACGGAAACTCACAATAACTTTTTCAATATTTTCTTAAATTGCCTCTGGATTTACGCTGATAGCAGTTTTTTGGCTTCAGATTATTTTTGTTAATATTAACTAACAAAAAGGATGTTTTCACTTGTCACATTTTAAGATCAGTGAACGTCTAAGGTCCCGGTCCTGCAACCCTTACACATGTAAGACATCCTTGCCGCAGTAGTTCTATGTATTCTAATGGAACTGCTGGTGTGATTAAGGACTACTCAACATGAGTAAGGCTCACAGGATCAGGCCCATGACTGTACTTGCCTGAGATGTTATTCTAAGGCATAACTACAGGCATTCACAGGAGCACAATCTTGATCACTGAGTTACTGCAACATCAAATGTTTATATGTCCAAAATAGGAAATATTTATTTATTTATTGTGTCCCACATATTCTCTACCTTTATTTCAAAATAATGGATGTGATTCAGGTTCCCACTGTAGTTTTGACTCTTCTTCTGTATTTTATATTAAAAATACTCGGAGTAAGCTGTTTTCATTACTGAAGCATAAGCTTTAAATCCTCCCAGGAATGTGAATGCAAGGCAGGCCCAGTGTTACAGCCGCAACAAATTGGGACCCCTTACCTCTTGAATTGGGTTTCCAGGCCCCAGGCCAGCAGAATTGTGCTTAGTCTCTGGGAGGTTAATTATGCACTCCTAGATCAACTGGTGGTCAGTATGTATGGTAACATTCTGACTCGCCGCGATCATCTATTGCCTTAATATTGCTGTAGCTCACGAAAGCTTATGCTCAAATAAATTGGTTAGTCTCTAAGGTGCCACAAGTCCTCCTTTTCTTTTTGCGGATACAGACTAACACGGCTGCTACTCTGAAACCTGTTGCTTTAATGTTTTTCAGATCACAAATGTTACAACAGTACTGGAGTAGATTACCGTGGGACCGTCAGCGTAACAAAGTCTGGCCGTCAGTGTCAGCCATGGAATTCTCAGTATCCGCACACACATACCTTCACCGCCATCAGATATCCAGAGTTAAACGGGGGCCATTCGTATTGCCGAAATCCAGGGATTCAGAAGGAAGCCCCATGGTGCTTTACCTTAGATGAAAATTTTAAGTCTGAGCTTTGTGACATCCCAGCATGTGGTAAATACTGCACAGTCCCATTTTATTTCTAATTGTTTTTTAAAGGGAAAACATTGGAATTATTTTTGTTGAAGGAAAAAGTGTAACATTTGTCTGATCCGTACAGTTGTGCTCCATCACATACGTTCCGTGTAGCTGTGCACAGAACGCCTTTGTTGTGTCTGGAAAGGGAGCTCTGGTAAAGAAGACTACATATAGTGTTTTTACCTAAAGCCACAGCATCTGAAACAGGAAATTCCCCAACAAGGGAAATCTTACAGTTCTTACCTGTGCATGTGGTAAGCAACTGGAGCAACAGCATGAAAATATTTTAGTAGGAAAGGTTGTAAAGATTAAACCTCCTCAATGATATGTTGAAGCACAAGTGTTTCTAGCATGTCATGTGTTCTACATTTTCAAAGTTATCATTAAAATTAATATCGCTTCTTAGTGCAGTAGAATTGGCTTTGTGGGCACTGATCCTAAATGCATTATAAAATTGTTTCCCTTTGATTTACTCTTAATCATTTTAATAAATGCAAGTCTAGCTTAATACAGTTCAGCCTTCGTTTAAAAAAAATGGGGGGAGATGGTTTTGCAAAACACTTTTCCAGCTGGGTTTTGGTTTTGATTTTGCAAAACTTCAGCACCTGGATTTGGGTTTTACAAACTCAGAGTTAGCTGAGATCCAGGTCTCATTTTTTCTGAACTCCTGATATTTGGAGGGAGTGGAAGGAAGATCTGACTAATAGTTCCCATTTTATTAAGTCTTCATTAAAACTAATAATACAGAGGTTCTGTAAAGAAGAAAACACTGCTACTTTGCGGGTACATGTTGGAAAATGCACCTAGCAATGAGCTTTATGACATAGACTCTTGTTCTGGTAATTTATGGTAAAAGGTTTCATGCAAATGATTGTGTTGCACACAAGTGATGGCAATAATGATCACTTTCCCCTTGGAAGTAAGGTGCTTTTTCACGTTCAGTAGCCAATCTTGAGTTAAAATTAATTTTGATTATGGTTACGAACATTTTTTAAATCAGACTCTCTTATGGATCTTGTGCATTCTGGGTCTGATTCAAAGCCCATTTAAGTAAGTGGAAAGGTTTCCAGTTACTCCAGTGGGCTTTGGCTCAGGTTTGTACTTGAGATTTTTTGTTAAAAAGGGAACATATACATTACATAGTCAAAACTGTCTCTCTTAATAGTTGTAATGCCCTGTGTTAAATTCATAGGGTGGCTGGCAGGCTGTTCTCTGTGAGGGTTGCAAGAGTCTGGAACTTGCTCCCTTCTAGTCTGAAATAGCCCAAATTTGGTGACTTCTAGGGTACGCTATAAAAGACATCTGGTTGATAGAGTCTAAGGAGAAGGCTGAGGTGGTGCTTCCTAGATGATGAAGGGGTAGGTGTCTGGCGGGCCTGCCCACAAAATTCCTGTAGAAAGATTTTAATGCTGCTAAGGTTTAATTGTATTTACTGCATGATTAATAATATTAGGGTGTCTAGATCCTGAGATGGGGTCCCTATTTAAAATATAAATAAACAGAATTCTATGAGGTGGCTGGTTGTTTAGTTAATGGTGCAATCGTTAGGTGCTGTTCTGCATTTTGAAAATGTAAAGAACTGGGTAGGTAAGAAGTATTACTACTCAGCTCTTTTTGTACTTACTGAAAAAGCCAATTCAGGCACATTTTAAAAAATATCATACGCTCTACCTAATTGGGACCTTCTTAATTTGGAAACTAACTTAATTGGGATGTCTCCCAGGGAACCAATTTAAGCCTAATGAGGCTTCATGATAGTGACTGCTGCTTAATAGGAATGGTAATTCCACTTGATTGGGACACTGCAGGAGATGAACTGGTGCCTATGTCTCTGCGTGTTTGCCTCATGTTGGTTGTAAACGGGGCTTAAAATGGTCTGAAAAAAGTGTGGGGGGGGGTCTAGCATCACCGTGACATCTGCACAACAATTAACGACCTCCAACTCCAAATCAATCCTTCCCCCCATCAGTTTTGCACCCACATCTGTTCTGTACCACTGCCCCACACACACCTCACCTCCACTCCTCCTTCAGCTCCTGGGGCTTTTAACCCCCTCTTTCCCAGGATGGGGAGGGGCTGCAAGAGTTCCCACTCCCCCTTCCCAGGTTGGGTACTGAAAATGGGGAGAAGGAGAGGAGCTATCCCCTTGTTCACCTCACAGGAGGGAAGAGGAGGGAGCGGAGCTACCCTGAGCTGCTGGGCTCTTTCTGCTTCCTCCTCCCCTCCTGTGAGAACAGCTTGGGCTTCTAAGGGGAAGGAGGAGAGCTCTGCCTGCTTCCTGCAGCTGCTCCAATGGGTTGCTCTACCTCAGGAGAGGTGGGAAATTGGTGAAAGCAGCCACCCCGAGGCGGTTTCCCCCTCAGGAGTACTAAAAACAGGCGCCCATTAGCAACCTTGCTGGCTTTTTAGCCATTTTATTTCCCAGGTCTGTGACCCGTTGTGACCGGGCCGCTTCAGCTGTCACATATGCAGTAGTTGATAAAGCCTGTGATGTCTTTTGCAGACAAATCTGTAGCAAGGGACAATAATCCAAGTGCGAGGCTGTGGAGAGACAAGTGTAGGAAGCCTCGCCAGAGGAGAGCGGGGGGAAGGGCAGGGTGTATAGGCACCAGTGTGGAGTAGCATGAAAGGACACATGAGGCAAAGTGTGGTGTAGAGACTTCCTTAATGCAGTTGTGAGGGGAAGCAGAGCCAGGGACAGTTGCAGTCCTTGTACTAGGTGGGAGCACAGGGACTGCTCCCTTCTAGCAGTCCTGGGGATGGAAGTCGCTCCCAAAGGAAGGGATGAGGCTGTGGATCAAGCCACCCCTCACCAGTCCATAGAGCCAGCCAGATGCATGGGGAACTGTGCACTGGAGGAAGGACTGTGCCTCAGTCTCCTCTCTTCACCCACTGCTGTGGTGTTGTGGCCCTCGGCCAGTGCCTAGATGCCACAATCTGATCTGAAAAGAGCAATTAGGAGAGAGGATACAATGGCAGCATAAGGAAGGGGAGAGGGCATAAAATGGGATAAGACGGCAAATATGGGAAGAAGAGCTCTGCAAAGTTAAATCTGAATCCATTTGAACATTTGCAAATTGGATACTATTAATTTAGGCTTAAATAGAGACTGGGAGTGGCTAAGTCATTATGCAAGGTAGCCTATTTCCCCTCGTTTTTTCCTCCCCCCCCCCCCAACGTTCTGGTTAAACTTGGATTTAAACTTGGAGAGTGGTCAGTTTGGATGAGCTATTGCCAGCAGGAGAGTGAGTTTGTATGTGTGTGTTTCGGGGGGGGGGGGGGGCGTGTGAGAACCTGAATTTGTGCTGGAAATGGCCCACCTTGATTATCATGCACATTGTAGGGAGAGTGGTCACTTTGGATAAGCTATTACCAGCAGGAGAGTGAGTTTGTGTGTGTGGTTTTTGGAGGGGGGTGAGGGAGTGAGAGAACCTGGATTTGTGCAGGAAATGGCCCACCTTGATTATCATATACATTGTGAAGAGAGTGGTCACTTTGGATGGGCTATTACCAGCAGGAGAGTGAGTTTGGGGGGGGGGGCGGAGGGTGAGAAAACCTGGATTTGTGCTGGAAATGGCCCAACTTGATGATCACTTTAGATAAGCTATTACCAGCAGGACAGTGGGGTGGGAGGAGGTATTGTTTCATGGTCTCTGTGTATATAATGTCTTCTGCAGTTTCCACGGTATGCATCCGATGAAGTGAGCTGTAGCTCACGAAAGCTCATGCTCAAATAAATTGGTTAGTCTCTAAGGTGCCACAAGTACTCCTTTTCTTTTTGCGAATACAGACTAACACGGCTGTTACTCTGAAACCTGTCATTTGAACTTTGCTACCCTCATGATCTGAACGAATCCCAAATTTCAGCTCAAGTGTGCATTTAATTAGATTTGTAATAGGCATCTGTATGGCCCTCTCAGCACTTGCACAAATCCAGCTTTGAAAACACAGACACACTCAGCTGGTCCAGTGTCAACGGTAGAACACTCCCTCCCAGCCCTTCCACAAAATACTACATGCTACCCTGCCTCAGCCTATTGACCCCACTGAATTAGTCCTCTCAGAAAAAGCTGGGGCCTACAGGTCAAGAGACTTACACGCTGACAAAATGTGTATGATCTGCATTTGAGCCAATAAAATCCACTGCAGTTGCCCTAAAAAAACACTGATTTAAAAGACAGTAGGACACACCAGAACTCCCCAAGAAAGATGATGGCCTTCAGTATGGCACTAAGAACATGTTAGACTAGGGAGGCTTCCAAAATAGAATAGTTTTGTTTTTGTTTTTTTCCTGCCAGGCAAAGTGAGGAAGAAGGGAGAACACAGGTGAAAATTATCACAATTTTTGCTGCAAAAAGCAGGGGCGCCATTTAAGAGGAGCAGGGGAGGGCACTAGCTCCCCCCCCCCCGAGTTTCAGAGGGGAGGTCTACTCACCCTAGCCCCCACAGAGCTCTTAACTGCAACAGCTTGAGTATGATATGTAATGAGTTCGGAAGCTGGGAGAAGCACAGCCTTTGCGGCAGGGAGTTTGTTTGTAAACAAAGGCAGGGCGATTAAGATAACAAAAGGCTTATCATTAAAGTAAATTAAGGATCACTAGATGATCCTGAAAGCACTGCAAAGCACTTCATTTAAAAGATAGGAAACAAAGGGTAGGACTAGAAGGTGAGAATGGAGAGAGGTAAATAGTGGTGTCCCTCAGGAGTCTGTACTGGGACCAGTCTAAGGGCAGGTCTTCACGAGCAACGCTGTGTAATCGTGGCACTACACAGAGACCTCTCCCAGTGCTATAAAAAAACACCTCCACGAGGGGAATAGCTATCAGCATTGGCACACTGTCTACACTGCCACTTTACAGCACTGAAACTTACAGCGCTCAGGGGGGTGTTTTTTCACACCCCTGAGCGAGACAGTTTCAGCGCTATAAAGTGGCAACAGAGACAAGGTCCTCTTCAACATACTCATAAATGATCTG